TGTTTTTTAAAAACTGGGAAACTTTTTAAACATTTCTGAAATATTGTTTTCATCATAATAATTAAATTAAGAAAAATTTTATTAATTCAATTCCTGAATATTTTTTAATAATTTTTGACATTGTTTATTCAGAATAGTTTTAATTTTTTAAACATATTTGCTTCAGCTGATGATGATAATTTGTTGATTTATGCTTTAAAGAAATTTTTTTTTATATGCTTTTTCGGATACAATAAAAAACACAAAAGTGCTTAAATGTTCAAGTTTGTTATGGTTATTTATATGTTTTAAAGCTTAATTTTGTTTTCTATTAATTATCAACACCATTGAATAGACCATAATATGATCATAATTCAACACAAGACTTTTGAAATTTCTGCATGAAATAAGTTTTAATAAAAACAAACACTTTTTGGCCTTATTCAATAGGCCTTAAAAAAATAGTAAAAACTAGTAAATAGCCAGGACAATAATTACATTTTAAAAAATTATAAGAAGTTCTTTGAAATCTTCTGCAAGAAATTAACATAAGGAAACACAGGGATTTTTCATTTTTCTTTATTGTTAGTCTTTTTCATATCTCAGGAACAAACAGTCTTACGGCAGAGTTGAATTTTTATTGAATGCTCTTGCCAAAGGAAAATTTATTTTACATGTTTTGCATATTGAGGCAAATAAGAGCCCTTCAATAAAACGTTGATTCTGTCATAAGACTATTTGTTTCCTGAAGTATGAAAAGGACGAAGCATGAAGAGAGACAAAAAATTCCTGTGTTTTCTTCTGTTAATTTCTTGTGGAAAGTTTTTAAGAATTTCTTGTAATTTTCAATAGGTCTTCTTTAGGCTACATTCAATGAGACTGTTCAAAAGTCAAGCATTCTATATTGGACTATCAGATTTACAATTTGAATTCAAAAATATACTTCAGAGACAACCAATCCATAGTGGGATGTGGATGGAGAACAAAAATCAAAATACAAATAGAAAATAAAATCAAATAACAAAACATAGGTAATAGCAAAATATATACATCCTACCTTTAAATACATTATTACAGAGTGGCAATCACATATAATGTTGATTGTTGGTGTTTAAGGAGATAGAATTTCTTTGGTCTCATCAAATGCAGTCTGAAGACCTGTTGAATACAGTTCAAAATATTTGTTTTTATTAAAACTTATGCTGAAAATGTAAAAGTGTTGAGTGGATTTATACTTTCTTTTCCAGTTTGTTAATATTCAATATTTACTGTGATCATTTTTCAATTAATTCCAATCACTTTTTTATACCAGACTTTGAAAAACATTCATAATCATAGTATATGCAAAATATTTTATTGTACTCTATATAATGTCTGATTTAAAATCATCTCCAATCTTAAGTACTCAGATTGATAACTCTATCTAAAAGCATTCATGCAGTAATTGTTTATTTTAATCTAGTATCAGAAGAGATTATAATCAAAAAGCTTCAACAATGAATAGAGTATAAATATAACTATAAATCAATATTTAAGTACATATTTAAAAAATGGTGGAATATTGCACTACTGTACTGTACGAGTTGGTGTTACAGTACTGTAGTACTGTAACACCAACTCGTATCTATAAACCTTTTACCGGTGTGCATATCATCACACTTTACAACAGTTACAAACGTTTTCGAACCGTTACGGTTCTTTTTCAGGTAATGATCCCCTAACAGAATGCAGTTCAAAGTTGTTATGAAATACAATCCGGAATGATGTCCCGACCTGATGACGTCACCACGGACTTGCGTGTTACACATGGTGTGCTCTATCTTAGAGATTTATCTATCAGGGTCTGCCAGGCCGTCAATAGAGCGATTTCATCCTTATAGTTAATGTAATTACGTCCTTCACTCGTGTTTAGGCATATGTAGATTGCCTCCAGCCATCTGAGTTGGTTCGTACGGTGGTGTGAATGACCTTTGCTTGAGAGAATATGGGTTCTATGTCAGGGTCCGACGAGTATATGGCAAGAGCTGTGTTTGTTCTTTCATGGTTGATATCCACTTTATGCTCTTTGATTCGGGTTACTAGGGGGCATTTAGTTGATCCTATGTAGATCATGTTTCTATCACACCTGTGATCAATGATAGGAATGGTGTAGACGCCGGGGAGCTACATAGGATCAAGTAAATGCCCCCTAGTAACCCGAATCAAACAGCATAAAGTGGATATCAACCATGAAAGAACAAACACAGCTCTTGCCATATACTCGTCGGACCCTGACATAGAACCCATATTCTCTCAAGCAAAGGTCATTCACACCACCATACGAACCAACTCAGATGGCTGGAGGCAATCTACATATGCCTAAACACGAGTGAAGGACGTAATTACATTAACTACAAGGATGAAATCGCTCTATCAACGGCCTGGCAGGCCCTGATAGATAAATCTCTAAAATAGAGCACATCATGTGTAACACACAAGTCCGTGGTGACGTCATCGGGTCAGGACATTGTTCTGGATCGTATTTCGTAACAACTTTGAACCGCATTCCGTTAGGGGATCTTATCTGAAGAAGAACCGCAACGGTTCGAAAATGTTTGTAACTGTTGTAAAGTGTGATGATACGCACACCAGTAAAAGATTTATAGATACGAGTTAGTATTAAGTACATATTTTCATATTTGCTTAATTATTTTTAATAGTATCTTTTAACATGTTTCATATATGATACTATTTGACTATTTGTAAAAGATAGAAAATAAAGTTGACTAGAGTTAAAAAATTAAAGGAACCTCATTTACTTTCTTCCAATGATTTCTTATGTAGATTTCTTCCAATGCTTATCTTTATCGCACTTTGTTATTATATTTTTTCATAATGCATCTTCATACAAGGCTATGTTATGTTTTATTTGATTTTATATCCTGTCTATTTTTGAATGAACTATTTTGTGTTATTAAAATTTTCATTGTTACATGTGAGACTAATTGGGGGTAGGATGGTTACAAGTTCTTGACTCTCCTACCGCTTAGTCGACTTGAGACCTTGAGGTCCAGTCCCGCTTGTCTAAAGCAGTGGTGCGCAAACTAGGGGTCGCGACCCCTGTGGGGGTCGCCAGAAGTTTTTGGGGGTCGCCAAATATTTATGAAATGCATTATGCCTGCATGCTGCATACCATACAGTGTACATATAAAGAGTGAAGTGCCGTCACTCACTGTTTAATTGCAATTTCATGCAGAAGATTCAAGGATTTTCCTGAAAACGATCTTGGTTGGATTCGTGATCCATTTTCCTACGACATATGCAGTTCAACTCTTCAAATTAGTGAGAAAGAGCAATTGATAGATTTAATTAGTGATTATACTCTTCGAAATCAATTTAAGACTCAGCCTTGCCAAAAATTTTGGCTATCCATGGAAAAGCAATATCCCGTTTTATGCAAGAATGCCATCAGGGTTTTAATACAATTTGCATCAACGTATCTATGTGAAACTGGATTTAGCAAACTAGTTTCAATAAAAACTAAATACCACTCGCGTTTAAACCTTGAAGATGATATGCAAATTGCAATTAGCAACATACATCCAAACATCGATGAGATAATTAGAAACTTGCAGCTACATACATCTCATTAAAGGGAAATTTACTGATTTTTATGTTATACAAAAAGTATTTTCTTAAAATTATAAATAAAATTAATGAGTCAGATATGATGATGTTTTTATTCAATGAAACAAAAGAAATGCGCGAAATATACATCGTATTTGTGAACATTTATCTCTAGGGGTCGCCAAAAATTTTCTCTCTACAAAAGGGGTCGCAGTCGAAAAAAGTTTGCGCACCATGGGTCTAAAGGATGGTAAAAAGGGTTTAGGGGAAGGATCGTTAAATCCTTTCTCCCGTCAGGATCTGACACCAATCTCAATTTCTTAGCGAATAGATACGTGGTTAATTGAGGACAATTATCACGAGCAATCTCGTGGAGGATTTCGGGTTCAGTATTGAGATGATAATGTTGGAAGAAACACACAACAATCAAAATTCGTTAACATTATACCCATTATTGTTGAACATTTTTACATAGATGATTAATTAAGTTGAGGGTACAATTCCCTCTTGGGGTTTTTCAGTCCATATAATTCATAAATTCCGGTTGGGATAGCGGACAAAATATAATTTAGTCACGACCTTAACCACGAGTTGGAAATATTCAAGAGAGAGCTTACATATCATCATGGGTAGGATAAATACCTCTAGTTATACAAGATGGGGTTTTCAGGACGATCTTGGAGTCCGAATCCCAGGCTCGTTAAAATAGTTTGTGAGTCGACGTAAGTCCGCAAATTGTGGAATAGTTCTATCGCAGATGGTAGTGACGAGAGGCAGGTAATCCACACACACACAGAGTACAGAAAAATAACTTTTTCCCTCGATGTCGTCATCGCACTTGCCTTTTGTGTGGGGCTCTCTTCTCGAGATTTCCCCATGTACGTCACAGGTGATGATCTTCTTTGACCAGTGGTGGGCGAAGTGACAAAATTATGACACAACAGTTAACTCACCTTCTACAAAGAAGTATTTTCGTGGGAATGGAGTTTTATGAGCGATTTTTATGAGAAAATTTTGTCGGTTGTTTTTCTCTATTTGAGTTAACCCTAACTTTTATAAAATCGTTTTGGTTTTGAAACAAAAACGGTAGATGAAGATGAATAAAAATATTTGAATCTCAGCTTTCTTAAATCCGAATCCTCACATCCACATACATGCACACACACACACACACACACTTATATTATTTATTTAAATGCATGGTTTATTATCTGAGTTTGGTCAATTGTCACTTCATATTATTTTCAGCATTTATTTTATTATTATTTTTTAATAATTGAAAATCTATTTATATTCAAACGACTTCTACATATATTAACATTTTAGCTTAACTATAATGTATGATTGATTGAATATTTTCACATTTTATCTAAAATTATATAAAATAACAATGTATTTATTTATATTTTCAGTGAAACTGAAAGGACATTTTATGTGGAGGAATCATTTATGTTTAGTTTTTGAACTGCTGTCATACAATTTATATGACTTATTACGGAATACTAACTTCAGAGGAGTTTCATTAAATTTAACGAGGAAATTTGCCCAGCAAATGTGTACTGCTCTGATGTTTCTCTCCAATCATGATTTGAACATTATTCACTGCGATCTAAAACCTGAAAATATACTGCTATGTAATCCAAAGAGGAGTGCCATTAAAATTGTTGACTTTGGTAGTTCTTGTCAACTTGGTCAAAGGGTAAGTATTCTAAAGATTTCATTATATATCTTCTGTATGTATTAACTAATTAAGTTTTTTTTTTTTTNAACTTTTTTAGATTTATAATTATAATGGTAATAACATATATAAAAAACAAACCATTATTCTTTGTAAAGATGAAAATTTTTGAGTACTTGTTGCTGTAAACTGTAGAAACAGTTAAATAAACTAATTTACCAAGTCTTTTATTCGGTTTTAACAGTTATAATGGAATGAAGAACATTTTAATTATTCAGCACTGATTGTTAAACTACTTGGAATGTTGGTTTACCAAATATTTTGTTATGAATAACCCAACTTTTAAATATATTTTATAAATTCATTCAATTTTTTATCTTTCAACATTTTATAAATTCCTGGTTTTTGTTTGTAATGCAGTATATTATTCATGTGTATGAATTATGGTTTCTCATTCCCGGGATTCCGAGAAATCCCGAGATATAATTAATTATTTTTAAGATATAAAATAAATCTTCGAATCGAATGATATAATTATATTTCATTTTGAAGTAATTTAATACGTTCTTCAATCTCCTTAATAATATTATTAATAATGCTGTGTAAAATATGTATTAAAAATTACCTTTGAAATACCTAGAAATTTTCACAAAAAGAAAAAGTTTATTAAAGATTGCAGGAACCGCTTACAAAAGAAAAGAAAAAAGCATTTTAAATTAATTAATTAAGTTGAAAATTTAAAGAAGAAATGAACTTACTTATTAGATCAAACTTCTAAGTTAGAAGGTAATTTTCATTTTGAAATAAAACATAATACACAATATTATTGTAAATTTTTATAATAAGATTTTAAAAAGCAAAGATGGTCAATACTCCAATCACTCAATTTGATTTCTTTAGTAAAATAAGAAAGTCCTGGTTCTGAGAATGCCCTTTTTGATTCAATTGGTGTGGGTGGAATCATCTTTAATCCATTTAAGAGAAGACGGATGTTATGTGTTTTTTCACCTGTAGCCTGGAAGATTTCTAGTTTGTTTTTGAGATGCGTTATAATATTTCTTTTGCCATCTAGTATTCTTGATTTGTGTACCTTGGCTGCTTTAATAGAAACATCAAGCTTATAGCCCAATAATTCAGCAGTTCGTTTGGCTTTAATAATCAAGTTTATGAAGAAAAACTTCATACTTGCATACTTCGTACTCGTTTGTATCCTTGCCCAATTTGCACAACCTGGCATAATGCAGTTATTGAAGCTACTGGGCATGGTTAAAAATTAAGACAGCATAAGCACAATTATTCCAGATATTACAAGTTCTGACAAGTAAAGAATTTTCAGTCCTGCCATAAATAGGCTACATAATGATTATTGACAATCTGTGACATGCCATAATAAGCAAAAATTTAAAAAACTAATAAGCAGGCTTAAAATTAATAAATACAAATGTATTCTGACAGTTTATGGATTAATTAATTATACTTTCTATTTGCAAAATTTCTTCAACTTTAACACAAAATAAGAAATTTACAGGATTTCCCGGGATATTTTCCAGGTTAAAAAACAGCCAGGATCCTGGATTTCCCGGGATCCTGTTGGAGAAACCCTAAATGTAATATTTTCATAAATGCTTTTTATTTTTTTGAATATATGATTTAATTTATTACTTGTATAATTGTTTTGAAAATTATATTCTATATATTCTTTAATTTTAATTTGATTAGCAGAATTGCAATAAATACATTTTGATATTTTTCTGTTTGATCTTAAATAAATAAACTTTATGTTGGTTTTTTCTTTATTTTAAAGTATTATATTTTAAACATTTGTCTATATAACTACATTATGAAATGTAATTTTTAAAGTATGTCCACCATTTCATATGTTATTTTTGTTAATTCCAAAATATCATTCCAATGCTCAAAAGCATTAATAAGATTTGAAAAGGTTTATTTTACAGTTTTGCATTTGACTAAAAAACTATAGTTATGCTTTCAGTAAGTAAGGTCTAACTGGAAAAATAAACAAAAGACACAGAACACCTAGGAGTTACAAGGTGCGCTGTGTCTTTTGTTATTCTTTCAATTTATATGCAATGTTTGTTGAAATTTAACAGGAAAAAAAAAAATCATTTGATGTTAATATGAATACAATTGAAAAATTGTATGAAGAGAGTCAGAAGTTCAGAAGTCTGATACAATTGAGGAGGAGCTACCTAGTGAACATTCTGATGCTGATACACTCAGAGTGCTGAAATTTAGTGAGTCCATCAAGTCTTCCCAAGTTGTGAAGATCTTCCTGATGAATACAGGTATACCTCAGGTTATGTCATTTTGGGTTAAGTCATTCTCATTTATACATCATTTGTCGAAAAAAAATACATGGAAATATAAAAATCAAGTTTAAGTCATTTTATTCGACTTTATGTCTGTCCACCACAAATATTAAAGTCGTAATATCACTAGAAAAGCATTAAAAGCACATAAAATCATATTAAATTATGTACATTTATAGTAAATTTTAATATAATCATAAATCCTAGAGAATGAAACATGAAAACATCTGTGACTCTGTGTTGTCATCTTATTTAGCTGTCTTTAAGAGCTCAATATTGGTGTTTCCTTGTTTGTAAGCTTAAAATAGTTTCTTATTAAACATATACAGTTGTCCCTCTATAGTCCAACGTTTTTTAATCCGACATGCTCAGTAGTCCGACGCACCTCCCGTCAAGGTACCCGTCCCCATTACATGTCTGCTTGCACAGAAGCATGTCGTGATGTGAATCTCCCCATCCAATTCTTACTCGATGACACACATTTCGTGTGTTTTATGTAAGCAGTTCTGTTTGAACAGTTGGAGTAGAGAATATTGTAAGTTACTGCTAGCAAAACAATGCGAAATATGTAATTATTTTCGGTAATCAGGACACTTTTGGTAATCTGACACACCTTTGGTCCCATACCTGTCGGATTATCAAAGAACAACTGTATTATTAAAAATGCATGTATAAATAAAATACAGAACTGGGAATGGTTATTTGTGGTTTAGCCTAGTGACAAGTAAATTTGACTAAAGTTGCCTCTCCTGGAACCAATTACCGACATAAGGTGAGGTATACCTGTATCAGCATAAATGAACAAGCTATACATGACATTGCTAATATCAAGTGGTTGTTATATTAGATAGGCAAAAAAAAAGGCATCAAAACAAACCAAGATGAATGAGTTTTTAACAAATCATGAAGTCAAATGAAGTGCTAATGAGCATACATAATTTGCCTCTTTTTAGGTCTACAGTATATATACACTGAGTGGCCAATTAATTATGGCCACCTGCAAAGTTTATGCAAATCAGCAATGAAATCATGTTATTGTTACCACAGGGCAAGATTGTTATAAAGAGGGATTGCTGGATGATTGTACAGAGAATTGAATGGTATTGCATGTGAAGGTATGGGCAAAAGATGTAATTTAACAGACTTTGAACATAGAATGATTGTGGGTGCTAGGAGCAGTAGAGTAGGCACCAGCAAAACTGCTTTGCTTGTAAAGTGTTCAATAGCAGCTGTTGTTCATGTGCACAAAGAATGGACTACCAAACAAAAAAGTGGGTCTCAATGTAAGGCATGTGGTCGTCCTCAGCTGCTAGATGCTTCTGAGTTGAAAGGAGAGTTGCCATACTTGTCCAGTTTAACAGAAGAGAAACAATACATCAGATTACAGCTGATCTTAGTCAGGGAACATCTCCGATGTCCTCTGAAAGAACTGTTCATCATGCATTACATTGTCTTGGAAACCAAAAAGCCTTTGTTGTCTGCTAACAAGATCAAACAACTCCAATTTGCACTTAATCACAAATGTTGGACAGTAAATGACTGGAAAAGAGTAATTGATCTGATGAATCGTGTTTTCAATTGCTACATGCAGATGGCAGAGTTCAAATATGGAGGTCCAGCGCGTCCAAATATGGAGTCGTCTTACGTAAGATCAAAAAATCAAAAAATAAAACTAAGAATATTACATTCTTAGTTTTATTTTTTGATCTCGTTAACTGGTGGAGTTTTGAATTTAGCTTCAATTTGACAGTTTCTATTAAAAACGCTTGTTGTACCAATGCCATCTCATGTGACGTGATAGAATAATAACGCTAGCAGACTCACCCTCTACACATTTTTTATTATGAGAGAAAGGCCATGTGGTGGTTTCTCTCTCTTCTCTCTTGTTTTGTTTTGTATGACGTTTCTGTTTACACGTGTACTAGCTAGTCAATCTGTTAAAATTTTTTGCATCTTTTTGTGAAAATTAAAATTAATATAAAAGTGAATATTATGACATTGATTAATGATAATAATAATGAAAAGATTGTTGGTAATTAAAAAATAAAGTTCCTAAAATAAATTGTTCATTCGAATTCATTAAATTTTTATATTTTTAAATTTGTTCACATAAAGTCTTTTATAAATACAGTAGAGCATCGATTATCCGACTCCCGATTAACTGTCACATCAGTTAACCGACCGTTCTAATCGGCAAATTTCAAATGTCCGCTAGTGACGTGGCATTAAAATATTCGGCTACATCTTGGCTACTTTAATATTATTTTTGTTAAATATTTGCGTGTTTTAGCTGGCATCAACGGCTCGACATTGAAGGGAGGCCAATATTTAAATGAGACTTAATTTTTTAATTATGAGTGGTTGTTTGTTTTGTGAGCAATAAAATAATTTAAAAATAATTTTTAACGACGATTATTATTTAAAAAAAAAAAAATTGTTAGGCTAAACAGCGATGAAAATTCAATGCGAAGTTGGTTAATAGCGATATACTAATAAACTAATTACATGGGATATACAAATATCCTAATATACTATACTAATAATGTATTTTTTTCCTTCTTTTCGGTTATCCGATTTTTCAGTTATCCGACCAACCTGAGTCCCCAATTGAGTCGGATAATCGATGCTCTACTGTAATAGTACATATTAATTAACTAATTAATAATCATATATTTTGGACCTAAGGCTTTT